CTCCTGCCTCAGCTTCCCAAGTAGCTGGGATTACAGGTATGTCCCACCATGCCTGGCTACGTTTTGTATTTTTTGTAAAGAAGGAGTTTCGCCATGTTGGCCAGCTTGGTCTCGAACTCCTTGAACTCCTGACCTCAGGTGATCTGCCTGCCTCAGCCTCCCAAAGTGCTAGGATTACAGCCACCGCGCCCAGCCTATTTTTATTTATTATTTTTTAATTTAATAGAGATGGGGTTTCACCATGTTGGCCAGGCTGGTCTTGAACTTCTGGGCTCAAGTTAGCTGTCTGCCTTGGACTCCCAAAGTGCTAGGATTATAGGCAGAAGCCACTGTGCATGGCCCTAAAAAGCTTTATTTTCCAAGATATTTCAAGTTTATTATTTCTTTTTGTTTGAGAGTCTTGCTCTGTCACCCAGGCTGCAGTGGCGCAATCTCGGCTCACTGCAACCTCTGCCTCTGGGTTCAAGTGATTCTCCTGCCTCAGCCTTCCAAGTAGCTATGACTAAAGGTGCATGCCACCACGTCTGGCTAATTTTTTATTATTTTTAGTAGAGATGGAGTTTCACCATATTGACCAGGCTGATCTTGAAGTCCTGGCCTCAAGTGATCCGCCTGTCTCGGCTTCCCAAAGTGTTGGAATTACAGGCATGAGTCACTGTCCCTGGCCTCCTGTTTATTATTTAATGTGAACTTGAAACATCCTTGTGAAGTGGCAAGTGCACATTATCTTTTTCAGTTAAGAAAAAGAGAGAAAGGTTATTTGACTTGTACTTTATCACTTATAGCTGGTTAGTGGTGACAAGAGAACTTGAACTTGGGACTTCTTACTGAGTCTCAGGTGCTTTCTGCTACATACACCCAAGCTGCCTGTCAGATTGAAACTCTAACAACTTAGTGTGTTATTAGCTATTTTGAGACACGTATTTGCTGGGGGCTACTAGTTAATCAAAATTTAACCGACACACTGTAAGACTCCAGAGACCCAGCTACTCTTACTTAGAACTCAGTGAATTCTTCCTGAAGATTTTTCAAAAATACAATTAAAGCTTATGAGCTGAAAGTTACTGGGTTGCTGTACTATTTCAAAGCAAATTTCTAATTAACTTTGTTTTTTTTTTGAGTCTTGCTCTATCCCCCAGGCTAGAGTACAGTGGTGCAATCTCGGCTCACTGCAACCTCCACCTCCCAGGTTCAAGCAATTCTCCTGCCTCAGTCTCCTGAGTAGATGAAATTACAGGCGGCTGCCACTATGCCTGGCAAATTTTTGTAGTTTTAGTAGAAACAGGGTTTCATCATCTTGGCCAGGCTGGTCTAGAACTCCTGACCTCATGATCCACCTGCCTCGGCCTCCCAAAGTGCTGGGATTACAGACATGAGCCACTACGCCTGGCCCTAATTAACTTTAAGGAGAGAATGTTTTTAAGGCATCCTTCTCCTCTTTTTCTCTCCTATTTGTTCTTTTTTCTTTTTTTTAAAATATATATATATATATATATATATTTGAGACAGGGTTTCAATATGTTGCTTAGGCTGGTCTTGAACTCCTGGGCTCAAGTGATCCTCCCACCTTGGCCTCCCAAAGTGTTGGGACTGCAGGTGTGAACCACCACTCCCAGTCTGTTGTTTCTTAAGCTTCTAACCATCAACCTACCCTTGTGCTCTACACATGCCCTAACTAATCTCGGCTACTCCTGAGCTTCAACTTCTACCTGCACACTGATAATCTCAGTCTCTCTCTCTCTCTCTTGCTTGCCTATTTCTCCTGAAGGCCAGTCCAGTACGTCCAAAAATTTATTGAAATTTCCACGAGGATGATCTAAAAGCACACTAAACATATAAAATGAAATCTGTTATCTTTGTTACATCATAATCTCACAAATTCTCCTAAATTTTCTATCTCAGCAAATACCAGCATCTTCCATCAGCCAGTCAAGCTTGAAATGTTACCCTTGACTCCCTTGTCTTGACTTCCCACAATACAACTAATACTATTTTCTTCCCCATGAATACTACTTATTTTTGCTCTCTCCTCTTTATTCCTCCTCCATCTGCATTCAAACTCCAAACTCCACGGAGGTCTGTAGTAACTGCTTTCTTTTTTCTTTTTTTTGAGACGGAGTTTCACTCTCGTTACCCAGACTGGAGCGCAATGGCGTGATCTCGGCTCACCGCAACCTCTGCCTCCTGGGTTCAGGCAATTCTCCTGCCTTAGCCTCCTGAGTAGCTGGGATTACAGGCATGCGCCACCACGCCCAGCTAATTTTTTTGTATTTTTAGTAGAGACCAACATAGTAACTGCTTTCTAACTGGCCTCCCAGCCTCCAGCCTCCTTCCCTTTCATCTCTTTGTTTCCTACACACCACTGCCACGGTTCTCTTTCTAAAACATGACCATGATCAAATTATGCCCCTGCTTCAAAATATCAATGGTTCAATACCAAGTTTCTTAGGATTCTACATGTGATTCTTTAATATCTGGCCCTACCCTTCCAGAAAAATTCCTGTCACTTCTGGAATATAAGAAAGCATAATGGTCAAGAATGTAAGCACATAGTCAGATCACCTAGGTCTGAATCCTAGCTCTGCTATTTATAGGCTGGAGTAAGTTCCTAACCTACCAATGTCTTGTTTTCTTCATCTGTAAAATGCAGGATAGGGCAAGGTGCAGTGGCTCATGCCTGGAATCTCAGCACTTTGGGAGGATCACTTGAGCCCAGGAGTTTGAGACCAGCCTGGGCAACAGAGTGAGACACCATCTCTACAAATAAATAAATAAATAATCAGTCCGGCATGGTGGCACACACCTCTGGTTCCAGCTACTTGGGAAGCTAAGATGGAAGGATTACTTGAGCCCAGGAGTTTGAGACTACAGTGAGCCTTGATTATGCCACTGTACTCCAGCCTGGGCAACAGGGCAAGACCCTGTCTCCAAAAGGAAAAAGGAAGTGGGGGATAATGGTGACTATACTTACCTAATTCATTGGGTTGTTTCTATTTCTTAATATTAAATAGGACAAGATGTAACTAATACATTCTACAGATTATATAAATATTAGATAAAATAATAATAATAATCATCATCATCCAGCCATAGTAAGTAGTTGCTATTCCATGCACTTTATAATACCTTGCTCATTGTGCTGAGAGAGCCTCTCTCCTCCTCCCTTTGGAGGTTCAATACCACAGCCTTCAAGATCTAACTCAGAATGCTACTCCTCTCTAAGTTCTCCCACCTCCCCCAGGTGCTTTGTTACTCTTTCCCTTTGTGCTCTGCAGCCTTAATAAAGGCTACTGTTACACTTAGCACTGTGTTTATTTTTATTGACTTGACTCTCTCCCACAACTAAAGTTTGAGCTCCTGAAGATTGGGGCTGTGTCTCATTAATATGTATATCTTCACCCTATTGCCTTGGACAGTGCCTGATTTAACAGGCACACACCATGGTTTTGCTCAATGAACAGATCTTTGTCCTTCACTTTACAGAGAACTAACTAGCTCAGCTTTGCAGCACATTATTTCCTTGAGAGGCTCAGACCATATCTTCCCCCGCTTTGTGTTCTGGAAGAATGCACAGCAGACAAGAGCTGCTCAAAATGATCTGCCTAGGCCAGGGCCACAGTGACACATTCAAATCTTTCCCTTTAGAGTACATTATCTGTCTACGAGATTCCTAAAGGGCTGGATTGAATGAGGAAATGTGAACTTTCATATCAAACTATTTATTACAAGGCACTTGCGTAAGACCATAACACTCTATAACCTTTGCTTTTGAAATCGTATTTATCTTCATTCCTTCCAGTAAGAGCTTTGTTCTTCCCAAGTTCTTATAAAGTGTTGACATTTGTGACCTGACTGTAAATTTTTATTTCTAGCATGATTTAATTATTTATAGTCTTAATTCTCTATTAATGACCCAAAAAACTTTCTTTCAATTCTAGTTGAATTGCCTTTGACCTGTTGAGATTGTTAAAAACGAAGTTAAAAAGCTAAAGAAAATTCTAGCGAGTGGAATATTTCTCATTCCAACTCACAGATTTAAACATCAGACAGAATGATTTTCTAAGAGGTGAAAGATCTAGCTGTGCACAGTGGCTCAAGCCTATAATCCCAGCACTTTGGGAGGCCGAGGCAGGTGGATCACTAGGTCACAAGATCAAGACCATCCTGGTCAACATGGTGAAACCCCGTCTCTACTAAAAATACAAAAAATTAGCTGGGCATGGTGGCACAGCCTGTAATCCCAGCTACTCGGGAGGCTGAGGCAGGAGAATTGCTTGAACCCAGGAGGCAGAGGTTGTGGTGAGCTGAGATTGCGCCATCGCACTCCAGCCTGGGTAATAAGAGCGAAACTTCGTCTCAAAAAAAAAAAAAAGAGGTGAAAGATCTATCCTAGCAAAAACTCAGAATTGGAGGTAAAAAAAAAAAAAAGACCTGATATAAATTTTAAAAGGTTTCAATAACATTTTCACCATGTAAACTTCAGCTGGCAAACAGGCATATAACATACAAAATTGTTTCATGACAAACATAAATTTCATAAGTGAAAAAAAGTCACTGTATTAATTTGTTTTGCATTGGTTAATTTTTAAAGAAAATGTGTTTTGCATTAAAAATGAGGCCTTATCTTCCCAGTTCTCTCCAGAGTCAGAAAAAGCTAGGTTGAGAGGGTAGAAAAAAAAATGATGTAGATGAATAACTATTGATGTTAAAATATAGTTAGTTTAGTTACCAAATAGAATCTTAATTTTTATAAAGATAGAAATATATTACTTTTTCTTATATATATAGAATCTGAATGAACACAGACTAAGGGAATTTCCCTGGTTATATAATTATGGGTCTTGTAAATTTCCTTTTTTCCCATATCTGTATTTTTCTATAATAAATTTGCATTGCTTACATAAACAGAGTTATTTTAAATAAAAAAATATGCTTTTTGTTATAAAACTAGAAATGATTCTTTAAAATAATTAAGACTGTTATCATTTAAATTTACTTACCAAGAGATTCTCCCCCGCCACTCCTCTGTTGTTAAAAACCACACATCTAAAAACCAGGAAAGCAATTTTCGTTATTTCTACACATGATTCTTGTTCATGATATAATATTAAAATCATCTTACTGATACTGATTTAGAGTACTAAAAGATTTTAAAAATCTGTCTTACAGGTATGATAATGTTTGACAATTTCATCTAAATACACTAAAATAAAATTCCAGCTCTCTAAATTCCACATGTGGGTTCAAATTAGAAAACTGCATATTGAAGTAATGTTAATTTTTCCTACCAAAAGAATAGAATATTTCCAACTTCTTCCTATGCACATATGTGGGCCTCCAATAAGTGTTTTTAAAACAATTCTAAATACAAGTCAAATTTAATTTTTTTTTTTTTAAGACAGTCTCCCTCTTGTCACCCAGGCTGGAGTGCAATAGCGCAATGTTGGCTCACTGCAACCTCTGTCTTCTGGGTTCAAGCAATTCTCCTGCCTCGGCCTCCTGAGTAGCTGGGATTACAGGCACCCACCACTGTGCCCAGCTAATTTTTTTGTATTTTTAGTAGAGACAGGTTTCACCACGTCGACCAGGCTGGTCTTGAACTCCTGACCTCATGTGATCCACCCACCTCGGTCTCCCAAAGTGTTGGGATTACAGGAATGAACCACTGTGCCTGGCCATGTTTTTGCTTTAAACAAAGAAAAAATACATGTTTTCTACCCATTGTATTTGCAACATTCCTACATATCTATTTATATCCAAAGAAACAGCTGTTGTTCCATTAAGGCTCAGCAAACATGGACACCAGAATTTTACATGAAGTGTAAACATCACAAGTAGAGCCACAAAGACCCTGGCACTTGAGCTGGTAGGATGGGCCCCTTTATGCTACTGCTTAGTCTTCAGTGGACCTACGGAGGAAAGGTGACCTTGTATTTTCTCTGACCATTTTTATCTGCTGGGTAAATGGGCTCAGATCAATGTAAAGGGTTTAGCTCAGTGTTGGCTCAAGTAAGTACTCAGTGAAAGCTATCAGTAGTACCGGTAGTTGTATTGTTGTGTGGTTTCAAGTTATTCCATATTTAAAATATTTAACTCTCATTTAACTTTCACGGAAACATAGCCCCAGATATGTATTTTTACCATCCTTAGACAAAATCCTGACTTGTGTCTACACAGGTTCTCACTGATTTAGTAAGTCTATATTCATATCAATTAAAATTCATTTAGTTTTTGTCTGATTATCCAACCAATCCAGGCCATTTAAGCTTCCAAATCTCTTCTTTCAGGGTGCTGCTGAGCACTGTACAGGTTCTAATCACCAATGAACTGACTGCTTTATAGAACATACAAAACTGAGTCTTCTCAGGGAGGCTGGATCTCAAAGCACACCACCTTCATTTAATGTGGTATGCAGGCTATGTTCTTGCAAAGGAATTTTCTTGCAACTGAAAAGTCATACAGAAAATTTTATTAGACTCAGCTGAAAGAAGATAAATATTTAGAAACCTCAGAAATCCTATTTGAGAAAAAGCTAGAAATATTACATTTTATTAACTCACCTAAGAGAAAATTTTTTTCTTTCTTTGAGACATGGTCTCACTCTGTCACTCAGGCTGGAGTGCAGTGGTGCAATCACAGCGCATTGCAGCCTCAGCCTCTCATGCTCAGGCAATCTTCCCGCCTCAGCCTGCTGAGTAGGTGGGACCACAGGTGCACACCACGATGGCCCAGCTAATTTTTTTCTTTTCTTTTTTTTTGTTTTTTGAGACAGAGTCTCACTCTGCTACCCAGGCTGTAGTGCTGTGGCACGATCTCCGCTCACTGCAATCTTCACCTCCCAGATTCAAGTGATTCTCCTGCCTCAGCCTCACAAGCAGCTGGGATTACGGGCGTGTGCCACCATGCCTGGCTAATTTTTATACTTTTAGTAGAGACAGGATTTCACCTTGTTGGCCAGGTTGTTCTAGAACTTCTGATCTCAAGTGATCTGTCTGCCTCAGCCTCCCAAAATGTTGGGATTACAGGTGTGAGCCACCATGTCTGGCCAGCCTGGCTAATTTTAAAAAATTATTTGTAGAAACAGGATTTCTACAAATTTCACCACATTGCCCAGGTTGGTCTCTAATTCCTGGGCTCAAGTGAACCTCCTGCCTTGGCCGCCCAAATGCTGGGATTACAGGCATGAGCCACCGTGCTCAGCTCGAGAAATCTTAAACTATAAATACATGCAGAAAAGTTAGAGTAGGCTCAGTGACTCCTTTATCTTTTCTTGCTAAGAAGATCGGCAAGAAGTCTGGATGTAAGTAAAATTTCAGTTGGCCATTTGTATTTACTTGCATAAGCACCTAAGGCACACAGGAATCAGTGCTAAAGTTAATTATGACCTTGAAACTTGAAACTCCCAGTCATTCAGAAAATAACCACTTTAGAGTACAAACATTAAATAAGGATTAAATGGCTTCTGGGGCAAGATGTTGTCATGTGACTGCCAGGGAGAGAAGGCAAGAGCACTAGGGAGGGGAAAGAAAAAGATTTGCAAACTCATGAAAAGGCAGCCTATACATCTGGGATTTTCTTCTGAACTGCAGACTGGGATATTTGCACTTCCTTCAGGCAACTTTGGAAAGTGGATCATAGTTCTAGAAGCTCTTGCTAGAGGATGAACTGCACTGACCTCTCCATAAGGCTTTCCTAACAATGTTTAATCAGTAATAGTCATCATTGTATACTTCAAGCCTTGGACGTGGGGCAGAGAGATAAGGAAGAATAAGGGAGCAAAGCAGCTACAGAAGATGGCCGAAAGAAGTCTGCCATTCTGCCCCTTCTCCCACTCCAGCTGGTGATGAGCAACCAGCTCTTTTCATTTAACCCCTTTGCTTACTCTGACAGTCATCAGGGAACACTTTACACATAGAGCTAAAAGAGCTGGCTGTGAAACTACTATTCCTAAGGGATTGAAAAGTCTGTAAACCTCTTCTTTTTTATTTTCTTTAGAGATAAGATCTCTCTGTTGCCCAGGCTGGAGTGCAGTGGCACAATCACAGCTCACTGCAGCCTCAACCTCCTGGGCTCAAGTGATTCTCAGCCTCCCGAGTAGCTGGGACTACAGGCACAAGCTATGCCTGGCTAATTTTTAAATTCTTTTGTAGAGACGAGACATAGGGAGCTATGTTACCCAGGCTGGTCTTGAACTTGTGAGCTCCAACAATCCTCTGGTCTCAGCCTCCCAAAGTTCTAGGATTACAGGTGTGAGCCACTATGCCCACCCTCTCTTAAGCTTCTGTAACAGCTCTCTCCAGTTAATTTTTACAGTTATCTCAAACAATTCTAAAAGGTATGTATATGAGGGAAATTGTTCTGCAAAGCTTATTTTTCCTATATATTTAAACTATATAAATTTTTTCCTCAAAACAAGGAAAATATAAAGAGAAGAAATATCAAATAAAGAACAAACCTGGTAAGAAGAATCTTCTGTGACAAGAGAACCCATTAACCAGGGAAGCAGGTGGGTCTCCTTTAACGAAGGTTAAATAAAAGCAAGAGACTACCTATATCAGAGAGTTTCTCAATCTTTAGTACTATGGAGATTTCAGCCCAAATAATTCTTTGTAGCAGTGCTGTCTTGTATATTATAGGATACTCAGCAAAATCTCTGGGCTCTACCAACTAGATGTCAGTAGTACATGCCCCAGGCATAACAACCAAAAATGTCTCCAGACATTGCCAAATGTTCCCTGGGGGCAAAACTACCCTTAGGTTGAGAACCACTGTCACGGTTAGACGGACCAGAGAGCCTCGAATCTGCTCAGGCTTGAACCCTGGAGGTCAAGATTGCAGTGTTGTGATCACACCATTGCACTCCGGCCTGGGTGACAGCGGGAGAGGCGGTCTCAAAAAACAAGAACAACAACAACAACAAAAAGTAGCAGGCTCTGAGTTTGGGCACCTAAGAAAAGCAGTGAAACTTGCCTGGGTTTTGAGTACCTGTCTAGGCCTAGTTCCCAAATCTGTAATCTTATCAGGCAATCTTAAATATTTTTCAGTTCTAATTCCCCAAATCTTTGAGTCTTAGAAATAATAATCAGCAAAGGGTAGAGTGAGAGGAACATTCAGGAATCAGCTAGTCATACGATTCTGATTTCAGGTAATAATAACAACAGATAATGTTTACCTGTGTTTACTATGTGGCCAGATCATGTTCTAAGCATTTTTACATGAATCTTAATATTGGAATAACTCATTTATTCATTCAATAATATTTACTGAACTAAAGATTGAGTTAGAGCCTGTAGTAGAGAAACAAAATAACAACATAAGGTTCCTGGCCTCAAGGAGGGTACAATCTAGTTAGACTGAAAATATATGCAACATATATTCAGTTGAGTGACTACAACAAAAGTAATAAAACAAGACAATATAGGATTCAATGTCCAACGAGTAGTATAGACAATAAAACTCTATGCAGTCAGGAGGGGCAAAATTGATTAAGAAAGGCTTCATAAAAAGGTAGATAGAGCTTACATGAGGACTTGAAAAATAGTAAAGATTCCAGCAAAAGGCAAATGTGAGATGCATTGTAAAGGGAATAATGGAAGCAAAGATATAAGGTGAGAATGTACTAAATGTTCTAAGGGATAAAAAATCCCAATTGAAAAGTGGCTACACAGACAGTAATAATAGAAAATAAGAATGGAAAAATAGGTTAGGACAAAAATAAACATAATGTTCTGATTTCCAGGTTAAGAAAATATGATAAGGAAGTTCTGCCTCTAGTAATGTCCAGGTAGATACTATAGGGCCAAGCCTTCCATAGAATAATAACTATATATTCTTGAAAAAATATAAAGGCAGTAGAGAAGAACGACAACAAAAAAAGCATGCAGGAACTGAATGGGAGTTGACACTAGGAAAATGAAAATCCTACTGGGTGAGGTTTCAATTTTTACAGCTTCTTTTTTCACCTGAGGGAAGGCAGTAGTTGGTACTACTCAATGATAAATACGAGTTGGATAGAATGCTCAGTCTCACAAGCTTGAAGAACTATT